TAGCGACTTTTTTAGTAAACATGGAGCAATTTGGATTTAGTTAGGCGATTGTGATCTTGAACTAATTTCATGGTGGATTACGAGATTTTTTTAATGGATTTAGTTGATTGTGATCTTGAGGAGATAGTCAAAGATGTTCGGTGTATTAATTAATCTTGAACAATATGGATTTAGTTATGTGATTGTGATATTGAACCAAATTTCTCTGTGATTTATGAGATTTTAGTTGGATTTAGTTAGGTGATTGTGTCTTGAGATGATAATCAAATATGTTGTGGATCATGAGATTTTAGGTCTAGTAGAGGAGGATTGTGATTATTGTATTGGTGGATAAATAGATATTTAAATTAATTTGAAACAATTTGAATTGGTGAGGTGATTGTGATCTTTTAACCTAATTTTACGATGGATTATATGGTGCTTGTTGGATTTAGTCAAGTGATTGTGATTTTGATGAGGTAGTAAAAGATGTTCGATGAATTATGTAAATTTAGGTCTAGTAGGTGAGCATGTTGATTATATATTGGTGGATAAATGAATCTTTAATAAATTTGAAACAATTTGGATTTAGTTAGGCGATTGTGACCTTGAACCATATTTTATGGTGGATTATGAGATTTTTATGGATTAGTTAGTTGATTCTGATCTTGAGAACATATTCAAATATGTTTGGATTAAGTAATCTTGAATCATTTGGATTTGGTTAGGTGATTGTGATACTGAACCGAATTTTACGCTGGATTATGAGATTTAAGGTGGATCTAGTTAGGTGATTGTGTCATGAGAATATAGTCAAAGATGTTTGCTGGATTATGAGATTTTTGGTTTAGTAGATGAGAATGGTGATTATTATATTGATGGATAACATAGATATTTAATTTAGTTTGGAGCAATTTTGATTTAGTTCGGTGATTGTTATTTTTCTAACAAATTCATGGTGGATTTTGAGGTTTTGTTGGATTTAGTTAGGTCATTGTGTCTTGAGCTAATAATCAAAGATGTTTTGTGGATCATGAGATTTTAGGTCTAGTAGAGGAGCATGGCGATTATTGTATTGGTGGATAAATAGATATTTAAATTAATTTGGAACAATTCGAATTTGGTCAGTGATTTTGATTTTTTAGCCTAATTTTATGATGGATTATAAGGTTCTTGTTGGATTTAGTCACGTGATTGTGATTTTGACGAGGTAGTAAAAGATGTTCGATGAATTATGTGAAATTAGGTCTAGTAGGTGAGCTTGCTGATTATTATATTAGTGGATAAATGAATCTTTAATAAATTTGTAACAATTTAGATTTAGTTAGACGATTGTGACCTTGAACCAAATTATATGGTGGATTATGATATTTTATGGACTAGTTAGTTGATTCTGATCTTGAGAAGATATTCAAAGATGGTTGGATTAATTAATCTTGAATAATTTGGATTTAGTTAGGTGATTGTGATATTAAACCGAATTTTACGCCAGATTATGAAAGTTTAGGTGGATTTAGTTAGGTGATTGTGTCTTGAGAATAGTCAAAGATGTTTGCTGGACTATGAGATTTTAGGTTTAGTAGATGAGAATGGTGATTATTATATTGGTGGATAAAATAGATCTTTAATTTAGTTTGGAACAATTTTTATTTTGTTAGGTGATTGCTATTTTTTCAAACAAATTCATGATGGATTTTGAGGTTTTGTTGGATTTAGTTAGGTGATTGTGATCTCGACGAGTTAGTCAAAGATGTTTGGTGAATTATGTTAACTTAGGTCTAGTAAGTGAGCATGGTGGTTATTATATTGGTGGATAAATGGTCGTTTAGTAAACATGGAGCAATTTGGATGTAGTTAGGCTATTATGATCTTGAATAAATTTCATAGTGGATTACAAGATTTTCGATAGATTTAGTTAATAGATTGTGATCTTGGGGAGATGTCAAAGATGTTTGGTGGATTAATTAATCTTAAACAATTTGGAGTTGGTAGATGATTGCGATATTGAACCAAATTTCTCTGTGATTTATGAGATTTTTGTTGGATTTAGTTAGGTGATTGTGTCTTGAGATGATAATCAAAGATATTTGGTGGATTATGGATTTTAGGTCTAATAACTGAGCATGGCGATTATTATACTGGTGGATGAACATATATTTAATTTAGTTTGAAACGATTTGGATTTAGTTAGGTGATTGTGATTTTGACAAGCTAGTAAAAGATGTTCGGTGGATTATGTGAATTTAGGTCTAGTAGGTGAGCATGTTGATTATTATATTGGTGGATAGAGATGAGGGCCACACAAGTGACTCAAGGCAATGATGCCACTACTGAAAATAACTGGTAAACAAGGCAAATGAGGAGAGAATGGGGGTAGTTGCAGCAGATGGACTTTGATCCAGCATCCCACGTGCATGTGCACTCTCCGTTCCCCGTTGTCCGGCTTGGTGTTCTTGTCCTGTTTGCGGATTTTGTGTCACGCACTTGATTAAGCAGCCCACGTTCTCCTAATGTGCGTCCTTGGCCTTGACGATAGGTAGCGCCGTGTTCTCGGGCATGTCCCGTGGGTAAAATTCAGGTATGCGTCGATTGTCTAAGCTCTTGCTCGCCATTGGTGGTGCTTGAGCGTGCGGTCATGGTGTCGCCCAGGAAGGGAACACGGGATGTGGGATCAAGACAGCACACATAGCAACCCGTGACCAGGCAACGGACGCCCGTCCGGACTTTCAGGAAGCGGAGGTGGACACAAAGATGGATGTTGAGCTCCATAGCAGTCTCAATAGTGTGCTCATCAGCACGAGCAACACGAGCAAGAAGATCCTGGATATACTCCTCTTAGGAAATAAAGAAGGCATTAGAGGTAGAGGAAACCTCAATCTCAAGGAAGTAGCGACTTCTTTAGTAAACATGGAGCAATTTGGATTTAGTTAGGCGATTGTGATCTTGAACTAATTTCATGGTGGATTACGAGATTTTTCAATGGGTTTAGTTGATTGTGATCTTGAGGAGATAGTCAAAGATGTTCGGTGTATTAATTAATCTTGAACAATATGGATTTAGTTATGTGATTGTGATATTGAACCAAATTTCTTTGTGATTTATGAGATTTTAGTTGGATTTAGTTTGGTGATTGTGTCTTGAGATGATAATCAAAGATGTTTTGTGGATCATGAGATTTTAGGTCTAGTAGAGGAGGTTGGTGATTATTGTATTGGTGGATAAATAGATATTTAAATTAATTTGAAACAATTTGAATTGGTCAAGTGATTGTGATTTTTTAGCCTAATTTTACGATGGATTATAAGGTTCTTGTTGGATTCAGTTACGTGATTGTGATTTTGACGAGGTAGTAAAAGATGTTCGATGAATTATGTGAAATTAGGTCTAGTAGGTGAGCATGTTGATTATTATATTAGTGGATAAATGAATCTTTAATAAATTTGGAACAATTTGAATTTAGTTAGACGATTGTGACCTTGAACCAAATTATATGGTGGATTATGATATTTTTATGGACTAGTTAGTTGATTCTGATCTTGAGAAGATATTCAAAGATGGTTGGATTAATTAATCTTGAATAATTTGGATTTAGGTAGGTGATTGTGATATTGAACCGAATTTTACGCCGGATTATGAAATTTTAGGTGGATTTAGTTAGGTGATTGTGTCTTGAGAATAGTCAAAGATGTTTGCTGGACTATGAGATTTTAAGCTTAGTAGATGAGAATGGTGATTATTATATTGGTGGATAAAACAGATCTTTAATTTAGTTTGGAACAATTTTGATTTAGTTAGGTGATTGCTATTTTTTCAAACAAATTCACGGTGGATTTTGAGGTTTTGTTGGATTTAGTTAGGTGATTGTGATCTCGACGAGTTAGTCAAAGATGTTTGGTGAATTATGTTAACTTAGGTCTAGTAAGTGAGCGTGGTGGTTATTATATTGGTGGATAAATGGGCCTTTAGTAAACATGGAGCAATTTGGATGTAGTTAGGCTATTGTGATCTTGAATAAATTTCATAGTGGATTATAAGATTTTCATTAGATTTAGTTAGTAGATTGTGATCTTGGGAAGATGTCCAAGATGTTTGGTGGATTAATTAATTTTAAACAATTTTGATTTGGTAGATGATTGCGATATTGAACCAATTTTCTCCGTGATTTATGAGATTTTAGTTGGATTTAGTTAGGTGATTGTGTCTTGAGATGATAATCAAAGATGTTGATGGATTATGGATTTTAGGTCTAATAACTGAGCATGGTGATTATTATATTGGTGGATGAACAGATATTTAATTTAGTTGAAATGATTTGGATTTAATTTGGTGATTATGATCTTTTAACCTAATTTTACGGTGGATTATAATGTTTTGGTTGGATTTGGTTAGCTGATTGTGATTTTGACAAGCTAGTAAAAGATGTTTGGTGGATTATGTGAATTTAGGTCTAGTAGGTGATCATGTTGATTATTGTATTGGTGGATAAATAATTATTTAATAAACTTAGAAAATTTTGGATTTAGTTAGGCGATTGTCACTTTGAACCAAATTTTATGCTGGAGTATGAGATTTTTGATGGATTAGTTAGTTGATTGTGATCTTGAAGAGATAGTCAAAGATGTTCGGTGTATTAATTAATCTTGAACAATTTGGATTTAGTTAGGTGATTGTGATATTGAACCAAATTTCTCTGTGATTTATGAGATGTTAGTTGGATTTAGTTAGGAGATTGTGTCTTGAGAAGATAGTCAAAGACGTTTGGTGGATTATGTGATTTTAGGTCTAATAGATGATCATGGTGATTATTATTTTTGTGGAAATGAATCTTTACTAAATTTGGAACAATTTTGTTTTAGTTAGCCGACTATGATCTTTAACCAAATTTTATGGTGGATTATGAGATTTAGTTTGGCTCCGCTCTGCCTCTTCCTCAAGGAGCATGTTTAGTCCGGTGGTGCGGCGGCTCGTGCGGCGTGCGGTGGCCTTGGAAGATGGGCGCCGACACCTGCTGCTTGTGCACAATGGTGACTTCACGCATCTCCTGTGCCCCACAACCCTCTCCTTCCCGGCACAGGAGGAGCAGGAGCAAGGATGCCGAGGCGGTTCAGGTTTGCCTCCACCTCCGCTCTCCTCCCTGCTCTCACTCTTGTCTCCCTTTTTTTCTCATTCTGCAGCTTTATTCAAGCATATATTTTAAATTGCTAGGTATTCCAGGTAGTTAGCTTATCTATGGACTACACCTACATTTGATGTTAGAATTCTGATACTAATTTATGTTCTTGTTGCATAGATGAATGGTGCTTTAGCTTCAATGACCAGTTTTATTGCTAAATATTTTTCCCATTGAAAGTGTCAAAGAATATACAACTTGGTATGGAGAAGTTTTCTTATGGGGAATTAAAGATTCCTGTATGCAGAACTATTTGGGCTCCCGCAGCTGTATCAGTTGGTTTTAGTTCTCAGATTTTTACTTTGCTTTTCTTGGCAAAAAGTTGGATGTATGAATCTGAGATCTGGACCTCAAGTTCACTACTTTTCTTTTCATCTGCAGTCGCGAGGAAGAGTAGGAAGATCAGGCAGAGAGGGTTTTACATACCTCTTCCACACTGACAAGTCTTTGCTTTTCAGGATTGCCATGGCGTGCTGCTGCTGTAATGCTTTCATTTTCTGTTGTTTTGTCACTTTGTTAAACTTTGTTCTCTTATTCTGATGCTATGGTTTGTGATGGCTGGATGAGATTTGTGGTGAAAAGTCTCCTTTATTTTGTTTACCTACAGATCTTGAATGCACGATTGATAATTTTGCTGGATAGGTTAGAAATCTAAATAATAGACATTTTAAAGGATGTAGTTGGTAAACATGGAAAGCCAAGAAAAATATATAGCTTACTTACAGTGTTGTTTGATCCATCGCTCTGCGGCAGGCTCACTGATGGACTTGAAGTATGCCTAATCTTGGACTGCATTTATTGCCTTTTGTTGGTCTGCTTCTTTTATTCTATATTTAGGGGGTTCTAAGCTATTGAATTAGGAAGCATATAGTTTATCCATTTGAGACCCACTTCAGTCTGTTGGCTACTGCAGGGAGCTTTGGATGGTGGTCTTGGTATTCCACACAGTGACAAGAGATTTGCTGGCTTCAAGAAGGATAAGAAGTAGCCGGGCGCTGAGATTCACCGCAAATACGTCTATGAAGGTCATGTTGCTGACTACATGAAGGTGAGTTGGATCCATTGCCCTCGTGGTATTATAATGCCATTTCTTCATTCCCTAGGGTTGTCGTTGTTGTATACATGAATTCTTTCTGGAAGATATATCTGGGCCCGATTCACCCATATAAAGTATCCTAAAGCAAGTGTACTTTCTTCTTATTTCTGAAGCAGCTTACTGAATCTCGTTTTAACTTCTGCCCTACCCATATTTCAGTCAATAGCTGATGAGGAACCTAAGAAGTACCAAACTCACTTCAGTGAGTACATCAGGAAGAATATTGCGGCCGATGACATGGAAGCACTGTACAAGAAGGTTTATGCTGCCATTTGTGCTTATCCTACCATGGCAAGATCAACTAAGGAACCTCCAAAGACGCACAAGAATTGGATATATCTTGCTGTTTATTAAAGTCAAACAACTGATAATGAAGTTTATCAATATATAGTAATGGGTATAAATGTTTCCTCATACTCATGTAGTCCGTTCATTCCTAAACTATATGTTCTTCTTTTGTTAAAACCTTAAAATATTAAGATGTTACGGTAAATAAATTCCTTCAGAATCAATAATAGAAAAGTTCTGCTATGCAATAAGATACAGTTGTATGCAAAAAATAATCTTGTATTATATAGTTATATATCAAAACTATGGATTTTCTATGCACTTCCTGCGATCATTAATGTTCATTGTCTTTGTTCGGATTTTGTTGGGCACCTGCGGCAAGCGGTGTCAGACACGACGGACGCTGCCAGGTCCGCGTCAACATCGTGCTCACAGAGCCTGTCCGCTGCGTTGTGTTCTCCATTTTGCAGTGCATGGTGAACTACACGGCAAAGTTCAGCTGCAGTTCCTCTATTTTCTTCCTACTAAGAGCCCTGACGATTTGTACTACTTGGCTGCAAATTTGTGCCGTTTGCATCACCATACGGATAGTGGTAAGAATGCAGCAGCAAATCCAATAGTAGGTAATCGTGACAGTATTTCACCACCAGTAATCTTGCTGTCTTTTATGGTTGCAGGTTTGTTCTTCTGGCATTATTCATGTTTCTCATCATAGCCATACTGAATGATGCAGGTGGCATACCTGAATTTATCATATGAATTATGACTTTATGAGCTTGCTTGGCTACTGACCTGCTGTTTTGGAAGGGCGTCCTTTTACCAGAGCTATGGATTTTATTATGCTCCATTTCCTTCAGGTCTTTTATCGCTCCATCCTTGATTTATCTGAGTCCATTGGGGTTGCTCATGAATTACAGAATTTAGGCTTACAGTAAGATGAACTTCCTTGAGAATCAATAATAGAAAAGTTTTGGTTAAGAGCAATTTCCAACGCGTCGTCAATTTTGTTTTTCTGATGTTTGGGTCTTGGCTTGTATGCTTTGTTTGCCTATATGCTCTGTTTGGAACCTTTTATTCTCCTTTTGTCTTGGTCTGAGTCCATGGATAAATTGCCTCCTTTTTTACTTGGTTGGGCTTGGGATTGGGCTTGGAAGAACTTTATCCTGTACTTGGTTACTTGGGTTGTATGACACCTATGGTTTACCTCATTGTGCTTCCAGTTCATTTGCCTTTGTTGGTGGCTGGGGGTAAATATTTAGTTTGAATTATAGTTGATTGTCTTTGGATGTTGCTAATTTTGTATGAGCTGCAGGTGACATGTTCTTTCTATTTTTTATAGAAAAATATTTTCTTTCTACTACCTCCAATCCAAAATAAGTGTCGCAGTTTTGAGCCCGGGTTCGTTCAAAACTGCCACACTTATTTTGGATCGGAGGGAGTAATATTTAGTTTTCTTCCAGTATTAATGATGCTTTCACTCTTTTGTCAGATTAACAATTTTCATTGACCTTTTGTTGCACCTTTGATTGTAATCAGCATCGAATGGTTGTCTGACTATGCTTTGCATTATTATAGATCGTATATGCTGCTGCTACTTAATTATACTTCTATGTGATCATGCAATTGTATTCATTTTTAATGTTCACCTGTGATGGAAAAGCGCCGACTGATATGAAGCTAAGAGGAAGAAAAATAAGAGGCAATTGAACATGCTTCCATCGGCAGAAATAATTTAAAGGCCTAAGTAGGAAACTGGATTAGGTTGACTAATCTTACCTGGCTAGCTTAGTTCATGTTGAGTGTTATTTCTGATTATTACTTAACACAGGAACCAAATAGAAATCACTTCTCATGGAAATTTATACCTAGGTCTTGTGTGGTGTACACCAACTTCAAAAAAAAAAAGGGCAGCCCCAGTGTACACCAACTTCAGTGGCCCAAAATTATATTTTTGATTCAAATTATGGACACCATTTTGGAGTGGCCTGATTCACAAGGGGTGCAGTTTCATAGTAAGACGGAGAACATGATGTTTCCGTATAACTACAAAATCTGTACAAGCTATAGTGGTGGCCTGCTTTTTTGTCATACATAGTTGAATACGCTGCTTGCATGGTGCAAACTGGAAACTTGCAGGTTACTGGAGCATTCATTCAGTCATAATGATTCACTCATATTCAGTTAGTTTACAAATCTAGAGATCATAATTTCTGTCTAAAAACTGTACTTCTATTTTTTATTTACAGGGCCTGGTCACAGATGGCATTTTTTCTGGGTTGTGGTGAAATACTTTTGTTTTTTTGGAAAACATGTGCTCTAACTCAAGTGAGAGTGTAAACAAGTATTTCAACTCAACTCCAGGCAATAGTTGCCATTTAGTTTAGTTCAAGTTTAATTTTGGGTGCCATTCAGTTTAGTCAATTCTGGGCAATAATTGTCATTTAGTTCAGCTCAACTCAACTCTAGGCAATAGTTGCCATTTAGTTTAGTTCAAGTTCAGTCTTGTGTGCCATTTAGTTTAAGTGTTAGGAGCAACAAGTGGAATTCAGTTCAGTTTTGTTCAGCTTTGCTCATAATTCTGCATATGTTGTTCTTCTGTTCAATTCTGCAAATGCTCAAAGCTTACCAGAACACTTATTTAGTCATAACGATTCAAGCAAACAGTGGAACATTTTGCCATTAAATTATGTTCAACCCTACACTTATACAAGTAGCAACTGGAATTCTTATTCAATCAGAACTACAATATTTTGTTATCTTAATATTTCTCTCCATATTCACTTAACATGAGTGACTCAGTTGAACGCTTCATGCACAAACCACAGGGCGCGTTGACCCACCGTGGATGTTGGTCGCTGCATGCCTGCGCTGTTCTTTGCTCGGCTGCGTGGAGCACTTGTGTTGCCAGCCTACAATTGGTGTCGGGACTTTCGTTCGGTTCTGCTCGGCGGCGGTGATTTCCTTCGGTTCTGCTGGGCCCTTCTATCTAGCGGCCCCTAGAAGGGAGCACGGGTGACGCGCTGCAGTCTAGCCTCCATCGCCGCCACCGCCTGTACTCGCCGTCTCGTCTGGTGCTGAAGCTCCCAAACAGCTCACCTCGTGGCAGCAAGGTACGCCTTCAACTCATTCCTCCCCTATCTCTTCCCCCAACGCAACTTTCTGCCGTTAGTTGCTCGCGGCAGCAAGGAAGCTTGAGCAGGTAACATAGCGCCCACCTCATTCAGATTTGATTTTTGCAGTAGTACAAAATTCATACCTGCCGCATCACCAATATGAGTACTCCAGGAAAATGTGAGTGGGAAACAGATTATGTGCTTGATAAAGTTTGTCCTTTGTAGAATCACATGCAAATTTAGTACATTGATCTGCAATGGGAAATGCACAAGCTTCTCATTCCAAATCAGCATTATTTTGAGTTATTACAAGGTTAGGAATCAGATTATGTACTGATAATCATTTTATTTCAAGCTAAATTGTAATTGTTAGATGGTCATGTCTATTAATTTCCTATAGACAACCCTTCTTGAGTTTCCTATGGATTTATTACAGTTTCAATATGGTCAAGCATTCAAGCTAGCAGCAGCAAAAATTTGTCCCAACTATTAAGCTACAAGATTTAGCAATGCATGCTATATGTAGCAATTTGTCCCCAAAAACCTGAACACCATACCACAGAAATTAGAAGACTTAGCAAAGCATGCATTCATGTGACCAAGCATCATATTGCAGTTACAATACACATAGATTGAGTAATATATCCTTTGCTTTTTCAGGAGTCAGTCAAAATATGCAAGTATGTGCACCCAGTTTGTTCAAGCCTCTTGCTCAGAAGTTGGTCTGGAGATGCAAGAATACAGGTAAACTGCATATATAACTGCATTTTTACGCAGAACTGAAATTTCACAGAAACTACACTAAACTGCATTGAGATTATTGAAAAATGTTAATTAAATGTTAAATGGATAACTTTGTGATAATCTACACCATATCTTTATGGACTAGGACCAATCAAAACAACATGCAGGAATTGTTCATCCTCATGGAACCAAAAAACCATCCATCCATTTTCACTGCAAGTCAACACTGTACTGAGCTTTCCCTGTCCATACACTTCCGAAACAGAATGCCAGATTGTTAAATACTGACCAAGATAATGATATTTAGAAACAAATTACCTCACACTCAGCTCTTTCTGATTCGTTTTTTGCTGCTGAACTATTGCTGTCGGCTGTCGGAGTGCCTTTGCTGCTTGGGGTTCTTGCTTAACTTCCGCCTGCTGTGGATGCCGCTTTGTGCTTGAGTTCTTGCTTAACTTCCGCCTGATGTGGATGCCGCTTTGTGTTTGGTTCTTTCCTTCTTGCTGCTGGTGTCGCTGTCTTATTGCTGGCCAGGGGCATGATATCTGGGGCAGCAGCCAATCCTCCACGGGTGAAGTGAAGATTTATGTTTGTTACAATTTCCAATATTAGCATAGTATGTATTTGCATGTTGCAAAGATCTCAGTATGAGGAGATTTAGATTCATTCAACTCAACCATTGACAGGCAGGGAGACAACAAAGGGGGCAGTATAATTGCATCCCATTATTATTTTTCTCTTTATTAGATGGCGTATTGTTATTTGTTCTATATATACTTGACGTCCCCGTGTGGCTGCTTTTGAA